ACAGCGATATCTCTAACGAATGGCCGTATTTCGGGGGAAAAAAAGTGCGCGATCGAACACGGTCGACAAGGCCGACGAGACATGTGACGCCACGATTCTCGTTCTCTCTCCTCTTTTCTTCGTCCGCTCGAGCTGGTGAAACGAAGTGAGGAGGCGAGAAGCGAGACCGATTCCCCTCATTCTCATCCGTTCCAGGAGGATAGTGACGTCATAGTCGTCGCTTGATCGCGCCCTTCTTTCCCGAACATACGGCCATCCGTTCGATATATCGATGTATGTGTTATGTTTAGGATTTTGTCGCGTCCCGTCCCGTTCAACACTTCTCCGTCCTTTTTTTTTTCTTTTTTTGCGGAATTCAAATTTCCGTTCAGGCATCCTTTTGAGCCTTTAACATGATGGAGTTAGTGCTGATGTGCTCTCGTCGCTGACTCCTTCTGGTGATTCCACTCCCGATGGTTTTTGTCCACCAAGACTATATACAATGCATGGAATGCATCTTTGTCTGTTATGTTTAGCGTTCTATCCCAGGCATACACCAAAAAAGCGGTCCCAAAATGGTAACAAATGACGTCACACAGGCGGGCGTATAATGTTGTTAGATACCGCGATCCTGGCGACCTTTGCTAGGAGTCCTAGCAAAAAGTACGAGCGAATGCGAGGGTCGCTGCCGTCGCGGAGTTCCAACTCCTGGCTTCTGAAGCTTCCGTGAACTGTTAGGTGGGACAGCGACCTTCCAGGAGAGCAGGCAATCCTGTTCTACTGAGGGGTGGAACACTGGAGGTGTCACACCGCTGCTGTGACACCTCCAGGACCGCGGCCAGCGAAAACATGAAACTTTATGACGTAAAAGGCGGAAATGGAGGACCCACTTTTTAGGACTTGTAAACACACCAGTCGTAATTCGTGATCCAGAGACCGTAACCAAGGTTTGCTCAAAGTACAGAACAGAAAGCAGACAAGACAAAAATGTATGTTCCAGGAGGAAGAACTACTAACCGTCAAAACCAAACTACTCGCGTTCCATCTAATTTTACTGACGGTTTCATGTAATGATTCAAATAATCTACACCTATTGGGTTGTTCAGAGGGGGGCAATCGTAGGTGTGTCATGTTTCTTTTTCTTGTTTTTAAATTAATATTTTGTACGTGGCAAAAACAAGACGACATAAATGCGACATTTTTAGTTGAGCGCCATCTGTATACGAATCTGTCAATGCGCGATTAGCTTGATCCTTTACGGACATGTGCTAGCACTTGCTCGTTTTACTTCATAGGAAATCTGCTACGATTATGGGGAATACATACTGGCGAAAACAAAAGTGCAGTTGTTTTTTACGGCTCGACGAGCCGCCAAAATGCGGTAAAATTCTGCACTTGCGTTTGTCTGGGTGCGTACAGCTGAGTTTGGGGAAGCTACTGGACCAAGATAAGCCCTATTTTATTTGTCGGCTTTCTTAGCTAGCTGTGGAAAAACTTTTATCGCTCCAGTTTTTGATGGTTACAGCAGTGAAGTTGTTTAGACGAGAGTATACATACATGGGTCAAAACGCGACAACACTATCAACGGGCTTAAATTGATTTCGGCGGGTGCAGTGTTTGCTCTCGTGGTATATTTTTTAGTTTATTGACTGGTATCATCCGGTTATACAAACAAAAATGTCAGGGCTTCATGGTGTTAAAATAACACTATAAAAAGTCTTGAAATTCTACACCTTCGTCGTCAGTCTAACCACGCTGCAGCATCTTTCAGGGTATGCGGTGCATACTTATAAGTGTGCACCGCAAAGGCGTTCAAGAAATATCAACGAATGAGAAGAGCAAGTTCTTTATAAAAGTCAGGGCATGTACTCAGAAAATTCATTTTTTACCACCCGCCCCCTTCAAGAAGAAAAGAAAAAGTTCGTCGAGGATATTGTGCATATACAGAAGTTTCCTTCTTTTTTTCAAGTACATGAATGTGAAAAGCGTATCTACTGCTCGGTTAATCGCCTGCAAACTCTTCGTTCACAGAATAAGCCGGTAAAACGGAAGTGTTCTGCAAACTGCGTGACGAGCGCCAAATGTGAATGGCAGTGCCTGGTGTGCAAAAAAAACTGAGGCTAAACAGCGCCTCGTTGTGTGGATCCAATACATGGCGTCCAAATAGTGGGCTCACAAGGATGGCGTAGGGAACCACGGAGTATACTTCAAATGTTCCGCATGCAAAAACTGAGCTGTCTTTTTTTTTTTTTTTATAGAGTTATGGGTTAGTGGGTAGACCTGAAGATCACTACCCTATTTTTTTTTAGATGTTTTGCCCTATTAGGGTCTCTTTTTGCCCCGGGGGTTGTGGCAAGATGAGACATTTGTGACTTTCTAATCAATTAATATTTTGTAGTTCTACTAAGAATCAAGTCACCTTTGCTGATCGCAGTGCCAAGACGCGAAAAAAGACTTGCATAATTTTTTCCTTGACTCACAATAAAAGCAGCAACAGCATCGATTTGCAAACTTTTATTGCATTTTGTCCCGCCTTACTAATTCCTTGTTTTGGTGTGTAAAAATCAAATCTGAGAGGAGATGGAAGCAACAACATTCCCAACTGGATGTTGACGCAACTTTGAGGGTTGTATAAATAAAGAATGCAACTTTCTACATCCTACATTATTATATGTATCACTCACGAAATCTGGTCGACTAAAATCGCACTTTACCTTATTTTAGTTATTTAACAAATAAACTAGGTAATAAACTTGGCTCCTTAGCAAGTCTTTCATGTCGAGGACTTTTTCGGGTATTTGCTTAGGTGTCTTGGAATGCGGTTTTTGAGTTGTAACTGATTTTATCGAGTATGTCATGGTTTGTGAGATTTTATCAAAAGACTTTAGCACTCAACTATTCTAACGGTAATTTTAATTGCGCCCATATAAGAAAACTGTATAAAAGTCAAAGTTATGCAACTTTTAGGCTGCATTTAAAGAACAGTTATAATCGACTTTTTCCAAATTTCACTCAATGAAATCTAATGTACTCAAAGTCTCTTTAACGTTCAGTGATTTTGGGGTTTTCAATGTCACTCAATAAGTTCGTAAATAAAACCATGTTTGTCTAAAGAAAAAATATTAAATGTTAATCAACCAGTTTTAGTTAGTTATCCATCCTTTCAATCCATAACTTCGAGGCCAAAGCTCAGGAAGGCGTTACGGAATTTAGAGCTGTGAGGTTAAGCTTTGTTGTTGTTGTTGTTTTTCCTTTATTTTATGGTTATCAAAGTTTTTTTCTTTCTTTTCTAGCCCTAAAAGTGTACCTTGTGATTCCGAGAACGTGTAAATTTTGAGAGTCTGTTAACTTTTTCCACTTCTTTTAGAACGTACCTTACTACAATGTGTCTTTCTTTTGTATCGCCACCTGCCGAGCCAGGTCCACAAGCCCTTGAGGCTTTCAGCGGCTCGCTATTGTACTTTCAAAAATGTATTTTCTTCAAATAAAACTATGTTCTATGTTTTATCTGACTCCGCGTTTCGAGTAGCCCCCTCAAACATTGTTTTCTCAGACGTTTAATTCGCCTGCATATACCGCATGACCACCGAAGCTGTACTATGGTGGGAAGGAAGTCATGCCGGCCGCAAGTCGGCAGGCCAGAGTGGAAAGGCTCGAAAGGTTGCCGCCATCTATGAGCAACGGTGGCAACCAGACATCCACGGAAAGCCGGTTGTCTGGTTGTCGCCGTCGCTTATAGTTGGCGGTAGCTGTCCAGAGTTCTTTGTCATCAGGTCGTTTGAGGACGGACACGATCCTGGGAAATCTAGCCCTTAACAGCTCCGCTGTAAAAGTCCGAGAACACTTAAGCACTTCTTATGAGTTGTAAATGCGAAAGTATGATTTCGTTCTTCCGTTCCCTTAGTTCGTCTGCGGCCTAGTGGCGTGGACGCCCACGTGCAGCCGGCGGACGGCCGAGCGCGTGCTTTCGTGAAGTGGCCGCGCCGCGCTGAGCTCGGCCGTGCAGCCTCTCTGGAGTCTGCCCAGACGGGTTCTGCTGGCTCTGCCGCCACCGCTCTCTCTTACCTGCGGCCTCGCAGCTGCGTGCGCTACGCCACAACAGAGAGGAGGAGAGAAAGAGAAGACTTGCGAAAGAGGAAATACTAACGTGGCAGTTGCAGCCACGGGCTGAACGGTCACCGTGCCACAAAAAAAAAAACATGTTTGGAGGTTGTTTTTTTTTTTTTTTTTTTTTTTGCAACTACGCCGGCATGAGTGCCAATGGGAGCCTCGCTAATTGTTAACGCGCGCCAGCCAATGGGAGCATAATCCATCAGAAATTAGCTTCACTTGGGAAAGGGGATTTTATGTGCCGTTTGGCCAACGTTTGGCGTGGTTACAAAGCTGATGATGTCGGTTCGCTCCAGGGGACGGTCAATGCTTTCGCATTAAGAAACCGCATTTCTCGAATGTTGGAAAGTTATAGACGCTGGGAAGTATAATCCCACGGCGCCGCCGTCTTTCTACTTGTGAGTGCGGATCGTCTGACAAGCAAGCCTTGGTAACGCGTGCCCATGGTTGCCAAAATGGTACCTCAACAAGGTATGGGCTACCCACGGAGGAAACACTAGCTCTGATAGCATGGCTCCTTACAAACCTGTATAGTTTAGAAACATCCAAGAAAATAACACTAAAAACAGTTTTTTTTTCCGTGACGCAAATCGACGACGCAGCGACTCTTTTGAGTCGAAGCAAAGAATTGTAAGCACAAAATGTTAGAAGTAGTTGCGTGTGTATTAACACTGGAGGGAGTTAGTGTGCCCTAGTGGGTGTCTGGATGATACATTTAGCTGGTGCCGCTCCACTGCTAGCTTTTTAACGTGACCGCACGCCGGTACGAATCTCCTCCAGACCGAAACGGGCAGGGTGTAAACTCCCGATGATCTCTGGGTTCTGCAGCAGGGCGAGCTTTCACTGCATGTGCGTCGAGCTGCTGTGCGCAAACACACTCGGCACCGATACCTTCAAGAAAAATAAGCAGGGAAGTAATATATCTATTTTAATTTTAGCGAAAGTATTTTTACGTAAATTCCTAGGGCTAGACGGCGCCATTCTGCAGAGGCTTGCTGACTGTCGCTCGAAAATCAGCTCTGATGGCGTCCAGCACGGCGGTGTCACGCAGGACATCGAGAACCGTGAGGGCGAGCACTCTGGCAATGGTAAGCGCCTTCTCGCGCGACTGAAGGGTTCCAGTGGCCTCGTTGAACTCCGACGAGTGGTTCTTGCCCGCGGTGACAATGCCGAAGACGGGGTGGACGCACGGGAGCAGGTGGGAGACGTTCCCGATGTCGGATGTCACTCCCGTCTCGACGAACTGTCCCGGCTCCGAGTCTTCGAAAGTTATCCCTGGGCAGCAGAAATGCATCCTTCGATCACTGCGAGGCACGGCTACAGTGGCTATATATATACGCCGATAAACAAAAGGAGAAGGGGAAAGGAGAACGGGGGGGGGGGGGGGGACGTCAGAACGCCGAGCTCTGGTTGGAATGATTAGTGGTTAGACCTGTGGCTGAAGCTAGATGCCTTTGCCACCACCGCACTCGTCGAACCCGCTCGAATGCGAAAGCCATACCCGGGACGCCGGCGTCGCGCGTTCTAACGCACTCGACCAGTACGCTGGTGACAAAGGCATCTAGTTTCAGGTCTACCCACTAACCGTTTTAACCAGAGCTCGGCGTTCCGACGTCCCCGCACGCTCTCGTCTCCTCCGCCTCTCCTTCAGATTCTTGGCACATAACACAGCCTCGTATATACTGACAAAGCCTGGCAGATCGCCGCGAAAAGCGGCCGCCGAAATGGAAAAGGTGGAGCGGCAGACAATGAATGAGAGGAGAGCCACGTGACTGGCGCCCCGCTGCGGCGGGACGCCGAAACACACTTGTCCCGTGCGAACAATTGTGGTTCGGTTCCTCGCCGCTGCAAAAGCTGTGCGCTGACGTCCAGGTTCCCCGAGAAATGGCTCTTTGATACCCCGTGCTACCAGATCCTCGCGCTCCAAATTTGCGACCCGGTACTCTATGCCTCCATCGTCGAACTGCCGGGCTTTGTGAGTATAGAGGAGGCTATGGATCTACCCACTAATCATTGCAACCAGAGCTTGGTGTTCCAAAATCCCCGTGCGCTCTTGGTTTCTCCTCATTTTTTTTTTTTTTTCGAAAAGTATGTAGCGAGCTCGCTTGCGGCCATTGATGCGTGCGCGACTGCTGAGCGCGATCTGACGGCGAGATTCCACATGTCCTTCTGCAACGTGCCTCTCGCACTATCAAGATTTCCACGGTCTTAACAGCCTTAATGTGAGCTCGTTCTGAACATGCTCTCTAAATATGGCTCTTAAATATGGCGTCCCCTATAATCAGGCTACACAGTGCATCAGATTGTCGGCGGCGACGGCCTTTAGCTTAGGTGACGTGCAAGCAAAAAAGAGCGCCCCTTCGCGTTTTTCCTCCTGGGTCTGTTTGCTGGAGCCGCAGTACCTAGGAGAGGGATTTGGAAATCACATGACTGGCTCGGTAGGGATGCGGGGAAACATGGGCGGTGCCCCTATGAGTGAGCGTCGCTCGCTTTGGAGCTAATATGGCGTTGTAGCTGCAATGTCGGGCGCGTTGGTCAGCAACGAATGGTGCAGGAGGCTTTTGATTTGACTTACCTCACTTACCGCTCATTCACATTGGAAGCGGATTCGCGTTCGCAAGCGGTTGCGAACGCGGTTGTATACAGATCCAGTACAATTGCACGCGCACGTGATGTCATCGAGTGCGCGTGCAATTGTACTGAATCTTTATAGAACCGCGTTCGCAACCGCTTTGCGAACGCAGATTCGCTTCCAGTGTGAATGAGCGGTTAAATCGCAAAGCATGAGCAATGACCTCGCCGAATTTTTTAGATAGTCTTTTGATTCTGGCCATTCCTAAGCCTAAATGAAAGCGATAATGGACCTTTTCCGAGAAGCGTTCTGCACACGCGTGAGCGTCCGATGCCAAGCGGCGGAAGTAGGAACGAAAAATCGAGGAAATTCGGAAGGAGGCAGAGGATAAGCGAGTCGAACACGTGATTGCAGCATGTATATAATTGTGTTACACAAAAAAAGGAAGTGTACGGAAAGATAAACACAACGTTTGAGTGGACGCCACGGATGCCCCTTCTTTAAAGTCGCGTTGGGCACGCGCCGCTGCTCAGAGAGCGAAGAAACTGGTAGCGTAGCTCCCAGTATCGATTGGTAGCGCAGGTAGGCCACTTCCTTGATTTTTAGTTCGTGCAGCCACCGCCTGGTGCCGTCGGTAGGTGGAAAAGGTCCATTGTCGGCATGGCAACGTCTTTGGAAAGCGGATGGCCTTGACTCAGTCGGCCGGGTATTGATAGCACACAAAAGCAGACAGCGTCCCATAGACCTTTGTCTAAATTACCCAAGCATCGAGGAGAACGCTGGAAGTGTAATTCTACGGTCCGCGCGCACTGGCCTTCGTCTTATAAAAGATTCGAAGTAAATAATCATAATAAGGCTTTGACGAACGCCCGTTCAAGGCAAAATTAGTTTTAGGCTTTTTGCTTTAGAACAATTACTACTGCAGGTGCCAGCACGTGCAACGTGTGTAACTACGCTCATAGCATGAACCTCGGTACCCAAGCATTAAGGAGAATGCAGGGATTGATGTTCCACGCGCCACACGCACACGCCTTCCCTGTATAAAAGATTCGAAGCAAATAACCAAAATAAACCGTTGACGAACGCGCGTACAAAATGCCATTTGTTTTAGGTATTTGCTTTAGAAAAGTTCCTACTGCTGACGCCGGCACGTGCGGCGCATGGAACACCAATCCCTGCATTCTCCTTGATGCTCGGGTAATACTGCAATAGGTCAATACCATAGAGTTATTACAGTAAACGCTAGAGGCTCAGCTGGCGCTAGTTTCTATGGGACTTCCGGTTGCAAATTGAAGCGGACAGCATGCAGTCTACATTTCCAGCCTCCCTGTGTATTCCTATGGGAAAACGCGCGTGAATTATGTCTCTTCGCCGGAAAATAACATGAATAACTTTTGTCATTTCGGTTGTACCGGATAGTATGCATCTTTAATGGTACTGTGAAAGTGTAATTGCTTTAGTTACAGCATTTTTCTCTACCACTGAACGATGTTAAACTTCGCTCTATTTCTGGTCCAAACCAGATCTGTTTCAAGGAAGGTATGTGAAAACGAGCGACGATTCTAAGCAAACTAACGATCGAAAGGAATGTAGAGTGTGTTCAAGGTTTGCTAGCATTTCGGTGGTGCTTATATATTGCTAATATGCCCGTCCTCTCATTGGATGAAAATAACTCCGTCGTGCACCTTTACGATCGGTTAAAGAAACATTCGAACGCAAAAAATAAAGCACGTGAGCGACGAAAGGTGGGTTTTCTTATTATTTTCTATGTCGGGCAGTTTTTATCGGGAACTTGCTCTCTGGCTCACCCTATTTGCAAGGATTTGGAGCGTGCGGGTGATGATTTGAACCCAGAACAAGCATCTTCGCACATATTCATGAGCAGAAAGAATAAAGTAGTACTTATTTATTGCGAATCTGACTATATTACGTAGCTTTCAATTTATTTTGATCGTCTTCGTGCACAAGGAGTTACTTATCCAGTGTTACAGCGTAGTTCTTGTCGTCTGTCTTGGTTTTCCAGATGTCCTTCGATCGTTTGGCACGTGTATCCCCCATGCTGGAAAGCGTCGACGCCGTGTTCGCGCTAACAGTGTCCGACAGTGCACATAAACATACGTACGAAGCGGTTTTAACACCGTTTTTCAAACCACGAATTTCAAATAAAAATACTGTAACTGACCATTTATTTCGTCTGCGTGACTAAGAAATGTTACAATGTGTTTAGTACGTACAAATTATTAGTGATATTTGCTCTTATATTCGAGCGCAGAGAGAAAATGCACTCGCTTTTTCCTATAGAAATGCATTACCGGAAGTCAATTTCTGACTGTTTGCTGTCTGCTTCAAAATGCAACACCACACTAACGCCAGCTGAGCCTCTAGCGTTTATTGTAATAACTCTATGGTCTATACCCGGCCGATTGCCAAGGAACTCTATAGGTGTCACAAATGAAAATTTACACAGTCTTCTTTACCGCAAAAATAAACTAGGCATCGCCGAACGCTCATTCTCCGCTCAAAGGTAGAGCTAGAGGTTAAAAGCAGATGCCAAAGTTTCTGCCCGATCCGATAAGTTAATCAAAAGTTATAAGTGATTTTCTGAAAATTTCAATGGGAAAATGGAGCCCATTTTTGTCTGTTTTCGGTTTCTGGTGCCATAGAGCCCCATGTGTTTGAAAACTCCGTCGGCCGCCATTTTCCCATTGAAATTTTCAGAAAATCACTTATAACTTTTGATGAAGTTATCGCATAGGGCTGAAACTTTGGCATCTGGTTGTGACCCCTAGCTCTACCTTTGGGCGGAGAATGAGCGTTCGGCGATGCCCAGTTTATTTTTGCGGGAAAAAATACCGTTTAAATTTTCTTTTGTGACGCCCAGTACTTTCCAAAGACGTTGGCATGCTGACAATTATCGCGTTCATTTAGGCTTAGGAATGGCCAGAATCGAAAGACTATCTAAAAAAGCCGGCGAGGTCATTGCTCATGCTTTGCAATTTAGGTGAAGTAAGGCAAAGCGAAAGCCTCCTGCACCATTCGTTGCTGACTAACGCGCCCGATATTGCAGCTACAACGACATATTAGTTTTGAAGCGACCGGCGCTCACTCACCTGGGCGCCGCCATGTTTCCCCGCATCCCTACCGAGCCAGTCACGTGATTTCAAAATCCCTATTCTACGTACTCCGGCTAACTTTAGCCGCGGTTAGCGCTTCGAGCAAACGGGCCCTGGTGGCTTCAGTGCCTCGCATAGGAGGTGCATGGCGGTCGTCGCGCTTAATTCTTTCAATCATTGCAGCACGACATTTTTTTTTTGAAGAAGAAGAAGAAGCGGCTCAATATTGTTCTGTATGAGCGAGTATACTTTTTCGGAAATTCAGTGGAATCTAGAGGCTCCAGTACGTCTTTTGTCATGTTCATATTTTCTAGTATTCGGCCCATGGACGACATGCCAGCGTGCGGAAAACTCGGGATTAAATCCTTTCCGAAGTTCACCGCTATCTAGCCGCTTAAATATGAATTTAACTGTTTTCATGCAAATGCCCGTAAAATGTAGTTTTGGGCCCGACACGCCAGCGTGCAAGACCTCCGAAATTGAATATTTTCTAGAATTCAGCGCCTCGTATACTCGTATTCACCTCAAGGAACCAAGTAAAGAAAACCCGGCTCATCGCAGACCGTTTCTAATTTTCCCCTTATCCGTTGCATTAAAATCTACGTAGGTGTACCTTGAATTAGATTTATGTTATTTTGTCTGGATGTATACACGTTCCAAACACCATAAGCATCGTTTCTTCTTTCGACAACCAAATCTTATTAAAACTATAGTACCACTAAATATGCTGCTTCAGAGTAACGACACTTGGACACTCGGAAGCTTCATTTCAAATCACATCAAACGCTTTTCCGTCCTCCACAAATGTTTAAATAGTTTTCGACAAAGCAAAGCAATATTACATGAGCTTCCTAACACTAAATCTAAAGGTGAGGAAGTCGTACTTTTGAATCGTGACGATCGGCAGTTGCGTCGGCTCGGCAGAAGCACCAAAATGACAGCGCCCACAACAATATCGGGGAGCGGAGTGCCGATACTCTAAGCGCAGCTCATTTAGTGTCTCTAGTAATAACTACTTCGCGCAACGCATGAATGATACGCAATACTTCCTTTTTACTTGATATGAAAATGAGTATTTCGGATAAATATGTCTAATATTTCTGCCTTACGGTAATACTTAATTTCAATTTCATTGAATTACATTATCTGATCGGCCAATCACACGTCAATGGCAGTGAGTGTACTCATCGTCGTACAGCTCTTTATCGATTAGTTTCAGTTTCGATGCTGGCACAAAGAAGAAATAAACTACCGGTTTGTAACGCTCTCACGCCATTTTCGTCCCTAGTCTAAACAAAGTTAGTACCGACTGCGCCCCCGATCGTACAGTGTGACGCGATGCTCAAGAGAGGTGTGACACTGGTTAAAGATTACAATCGCCACAATGCTCGCTGTCCGTCGGCTGCCACACAGAAGTCAACGCGTGGCCTCCAGGATTTTTCGCGCGCTGGCAGCGCTCTTCAGGCCACTGCATTCGCCCGGTAGAGGCTGTTACTGCGGGGCGCTTGGTAGCCCTCAGATCCAAACCAAACAACACGAAGAAATAGCAGCGTATTTCATCATCACCCTGATCGTTCGTCTTCAGGAGCAGCGCGAAATCTGCTCCCCGCCTCTCGCCGCAACACGCAGACCCTTGTCAAGGAAGAAGTTGATCGATATTTGAAGGTTCATCTTTTCAAAGAGCGAACGGTGTAGAACGAACGCCCACGATGTTGTTTTCAAACAAGCTGCGTTTCTAATTATTTCAGTAAAAAAAAACAGGAAGTTGAGATATCAAAATCAGGAAGGCGAGTCAAAATATAAATTCTCACTGAATAGTGAAAGTGATAGTGATTTATTTCGGCTCAAGAGAGCCGCGGCGCCGCAGAAATGCAAGTCGCCCATACCGTGAAGGCCCACGGCAGGGCGTCCAACGAGAATGAGATGTTATTGGACGGATGACTTTTGAAAAAAAATGGTGATGATGGTTGAAAAGGAGCTTGTGGACGAGGGTTAGGAATTGATGTTGCGATTGAAGAGGATGAAGAGCGTTAGAGCCGGTTCAGACACTTGCGTTTGAGTGCGTTTGACTGCGTTGCGTCGAGAACCGAAAGCGAGTCACCGGCACATCTGTGCTTTGTATGAAGCGTGGAATCCAATTCATGGAATCATCTTGGTACGCGATATAAGCAGCAGAAATGTCCTGGTTTCTCGCTGCCGCAACGCAGTCAAACGCAACTGTCTGAGGCAGGTGTTAGGCTTGCAGCGCTCTTCGCGACGGTGGTCTTCATGGGGCTGCAATGGGCTGCTGACTTCTAGCAGGCCGGTCTCGAGAACCTGGCGATGGCTCCCTGTGTGTACGGCCCGTTTGCTTTCTAAAGACGTTGCCATGCCGACAATTATCGCGTTCATTTAGGCTTAGGAATGGCCAGAATCGAAAGACTATTTGAAAAATGCGGCGACGTCATTGCTCATGCTTTAGGATTTAAGTGAGGTAAAGCGAAAGCCTCCAGCACCATTCGTTGCTGACTAACGCGCCCGATATTGCAGCTACAACTACATCTTAGTTTCGAAGCGAGCGGCGCTCACTCACCGGGGCATCGCCATGTTTCCCCGCATCCCTATACACGTTTGCAAGTCCGGCTTCAGGGCGCTGCCATCTTGCCTGTCTGGGGTGCGCTTGGACCAGTCATAATCCGATTACGAAGCCTTGCTAAGGCGTCGTAATCGGATTATGGCCGCTCCCGAGAGCGCACCCCACTGAGGAAGATGGCGGCGCCCTGAGACCGGACTTGCAAACGTGTATACCGAGCCAGTCGCGTGATTTCAAAATCCCTCTCCTAAGTACTGCGGCTAACATAAGCCGCGGTTAGCGCTTCGAGCAAACGGGCTTAGGGGTTGGGGCAGGTGCTGGCCTGGCGGCGGTCTTCGCGAAAGTGGGCTCTGAATTCTCCCAGTTTGCGGTCGAGCCCGTAACCAAGCAGTGTGATTAGCTGGCTTTATGACGAGGGGGAGAACACGTCTTACGCCCAGCTGGCTTTCTCTTCTTTCGATCTTGGATTCTGGAATATCATCCCGAAACAGCGTGAAGGTCGGTGCAGCAAATAAAAATTTTCGAATCAACAAAGGTCGACTTATATTTCTCTATTCTGATGATGAGAAGAATGAAGATGCAAGTTTCATGTCGCGAGCTCACACTTGCCAGCGTGATTTGAGGCCATTTTGTTTCCATTTCTGGTTTTTTTCTAAGTAAAGCGCCGCATGCGGAGATTTAACGAATTGACTCGGCTCGCTTTTTTCTGCGGGCAGCCGAGCGTTTGTAAAGGCCGGAGCAGAGCGCGGGAAAAATCTCAGAGGCCATGATCTGCGTAAAATAGTTCTGCTGGGAACACCACTGTCCTGTTGGACGCTTCACATACCACCGAGAAAACAATGTCTAGGATTGCTGCAATGAGAGTCAATGCGCACATGAGCTAGTGAAAAAAAGAAAAAAAAATACAGGAAGATCCATAGGTTAGTTCTTAGTGAATGCGTAGCATGGTCCTTGGGAAACGCCACACACTTCCTCCTTTGGGAATCGCTAAGGCTGACCTTTTCACGTCTCTGTTTTGGCTTTCTCTTTTGCTTCCTCTATTTTCTGCTGCCTCTTATTGGCCTCCTCGCGAGGTCAGTGTTAGCGATTCCCAAGGGGAGACATGTGTGGCGTTTCCCAGGGTCATGCTAGCGCATTCCCTAAAAATCGATCAATGGATCTTCCGGCAATTTCTTTCTATAACCCCTTTCGCGTACTCTGCCTGTCAGAGTACGTCGGCGCCATTAGATATGGTCGTCCATATCACTCGTGGAAAGAGCCACATTCATACCACTTCTGGAGGGAACCGCATCCATATCACTCGTGGAGGGACCCGCATCCATCGTTTTAACTACAAACACACATCATAGCTAACGCACCGCTATTATGGAAGCCCAAAGCGAAGAACATCCGGTGACGGCAGAGCGGCAAATGAGTACACTCGCATTCCACCGCGCCGCGCTGCAACACCTATTATATAACAAAGCCGCACAGGCGCAGTAGTCGTCTCCCATCAATGTCTAGCGTTGGCCTCCTCTGATGACGCCACAACATTCTGCACTACGACTTTGTTATCTAGGATGTGTTGCGCGGCGCCTCCTCCTCTCTGGCTCCACGCCAGCTGTGTGCAGAACTTTGACGAAAACGTAAGGGCTCGTTTTGACGAAAACGAGGCGGTGTCTGTCAGTTTGTCAGAGCCGGGGAGAGTTGGAGACGTTGACACGTGCTGACGTCAGCGCTTCGGACCAATGGGAGCGTCCCTCGCGTCAACCTCTCCGCCTCCTGCTCCCTCTCTGCCCGGTACTGACAAACGAAACATATACCGCCGGGTTTTAGTCAAAATAAGCGTTTTAATGCTAACAAATTAAAAAAAAAAAAAACTATGAAATGTTTTTTTTTTCTTGTTGAACTTTTCCAGCTTCTGGTAGGTTTCTTTTTAGACTGACCAAACTAATCAATCTAAAAGGCAAAAAAATACAGTAATGTTTACAGGGCGATGCAGGTACTTTGTAATTAAATCCATTGTAAATAATAATTGGGAACTTACCAAGTCGTTCCGCGTGTTTCTGGTAGAGCCGTATGAGTACCTCGTTCTGTATCATATGCTTGGCGGTCGGCGACTTCTCCGATATGGTGGCTGTGCAGCCGGCCGCCAAGGCAGCGGCACGGAAGCAGGCCTCCACCTGCTCCTTGATCATGAGCATTTCCGTTGTCGTGGGTGCCCGGACGCTGTAGCACAGCTCACTCTCATCGGGAATGATGTTACTCTTCGTCCCGGCATTAAGCATCACCCCTGGAATAAACAAACGTTTTAAGGAAATAATTTTACGAAATACATTACTTGCACTGATGTCACTTCAGGGGCCATTCTGTTGGCTAGAACCCGTAGACAAGGTCCGCTAAGAGTATAGGCACCTCATTTCCAGATCATCTTATGGGCGCCTGCTTATTGTTGCTAATTGCAGAACGAGCGACGTAATTACCATTAGAAAATGTGATAACCTGAGCTTTTACTATGGTATCAGGAAGCTCAGGCTATCCGGAGAGAAAGTTCGTCTGCTTCTGGCGCAGGGGTTGCGGTGACGTCAGAACACCGAGCTCTGATTAGCTCAATTGTAATGACAGTTGGTAGACCTCAAGGCAGCTAGCAGTAAGGTCTACCCACTATCCTTCAAATCAGAGCCAATCAGGTCTCGGCGTTCTGACGTCACCGCAACCCCTGCGCCAGAAGCAGACGAACTTTCTCTCCGCAAATCGGTGTTCTCTCTCGCGGTCTTTTTTAACGTTTCTGGAAAGCGGGAATGGCTGAGTTGTCGTTGCTACGTACTTAAAATGTGCCATGAAATTATTTTTCAACTCATTTCTCCTTAGCTTTCCTCCACAACTCAAAAGCGAAATGAGAAATCACGCGGTTTTGATATGCTTGCGCACCAGTGCGATGACCCCAGGTTTCTACCGTCCTTTCTAAGCGCACCGTGAAACTTGCCATTGGCAAGCGATGATAAGTGCAGTCACGGCACTCATTGCTCACGAACGAGAATCAAAATATTCGTCGACGGATTGAATGTTGACGAGCGCACACTTCCGAGTGACACGGTGCTCGTATCCAATGCGGGAGCTGGAGTAAGCTGACGTGTTGGGGGTCCTTGCAGTAGCAGCATGTCGGTGGTTCGCGCGCCTTTTTCCATGCTGCTCTTCTGTTCGGCGTGCAGGCGGTATTGGTTCTAATGCGCCTTAAGAGCACCTTCGTTCTCCGCCCAAAGCCTCGCGGCAGTGGGTCGGAGATAGGTGAAAGGTGTTCCTTCAGCGCAGTACGGGACGAAAGTTTCATCTGCTGTTTAGCTTCGTCGGGGTCATAGTCGTCTTCGTCTTCGTCATCTTCGGGTGAGGAAGATGCGTAGCCGTGATCATGGAGGTGGCAGGGCGGCTTGTGCGTCTCGCGGAGTGTAGCTATTATCGCGCGAGCTGCAGAGTGGGCCTGCTCATTGCCAGCTATGCCTGCGTGGGCGGGCGCCCAGGATAGCTGGACTTTTGTACCTTGCAGAGGAAGTTGGAGGGCCATCTTTTTTATGGATTTTGCTCTCTTGCAGGGGCTCTTCCTATTTCGGCACTCGGTGAGCGAGGCTACCGAGTCCGTAAAAACGTGGAGCTCTTTTGGTCTAATGGTTGTGTCGTTGAGGACTGTTTCAATCGCATATTGAATCGCTCCGAGTTCGACACCCTTGACGGAGGTGCTGTTTGGTAATTGTTTGGAAGATATAGTTCCTTTTCCTGGTATTGCCACTGCGACCGTAGAAGTTGGTCTGGGAGTGTCGCGAAAGCCGCGTCTGTGTAGACGGCTAGCTTCTCCGCCGAGCTTTCCCAGGTCTGTATTCCTTTGTTGTGTCTACTGGCTTGCGATTTCTGACGATCTGGATGTCTGAAGCTCGCGCTCTTCGGGATGGGCTTGCCTTCTACGAGGTCGATGTATTCTAACCAAGGAAAGTTGTTCTCTGGGAAGTCGGGAAGCGGGAGTTTAAGCGCTTGAATCAGACTGAGAATGGTTCTGCCGGATCGTAAGTGTTGCAGTCGTTCACGGTGGGCGGCAGATCGTACCATTACAGTTTCTTGTAAGGTGTTGAGCTGGGCATGTTCCATGAGTGTCCCTATTGGTGTGAATCGGGGTAGGCCAGTAATAACCCGTGCGGCTTGTCTGTTGATGGTTTCCAGTTTTTTCCACTGGCTTTTTGAGATGTTGTAATACAAAGCGCAGTAGCAGACTTTTGATACGATGAGTGCCTTCACCATCTCACGTGCAATTCCTTCGTTCGCTCCGCCTCTGGAGCTGCATATCCTTCTGATGACATGGATGATTGCCTTGCATTGCTGGCTGACCTTGGTCATCCAAGTTCTGCATGAGCCGTCTTCATCGATGTACATTCCGAGTATTCTGATCGAGGTAGAGGGTTGGATTCTGTTGCCTGCTAGCGTTAAGTACATCTGACTGGCGATGCGAGATTTTCTTTGTTTACGGGATGCGACGACCACATAGGTCGTTTTTCTCCGGGGATGCGGTGAGGCCGACCCCATTCAGATGGGGTTGCACTTCGTCCAATCCGGCTTGAAGAGTCTGTTGTTGGGTTCGGGTGTCGCCTGTCACTGTCCATAGGGAGATATCGTCCGCATATATGGTGAACTTGAGGCTTGGGATCCTCGATAGGCGGTGTGGGAGATCGGCCATTGCCATGTTAAACAGCAAAGGAGAGATCCTATTGTTCGAAGAACAGTGACTTCGCTGCGTTTTCCTAGAGGTCAAGCTTTTTTCTTTTTTTACTGTTTCCTCGGGTAAGTTCGCTTTTTGCACATTTTATAGAAAAAATGCACCACCTTTGGGCAACTTTGCAGAAAATCGTAGCGCGATCGGTTAAGAAACCGAAATTTGCAGTCGATTTAAAGAGCTCGGCCTCCACTTGAAACACCCGGTAATTCGGTTGATTTAATCCCTTAAGGAACAGTACGAAAGCTCCGTTTTCAAACCGGCATAAAAATCTTTTGTTTCAAAAATCTAAAGTAATCGGAAACGAAACGGTTACTTTTTCAGGCAACGGCCAGTTACTTTTCTTCTCAAATAACAAAATAATCTAATTCGATATGTTTAGCTTTGGTGCCTGGAACATGTCTTCGACTGGTGTGTCATAGCCTCCTCTATACGGAGAAAGCCTGGCGCGTCGCGTGAAAAGACGGCCGCCGTAAATGGGAAAGGAGGGGCGGAGAAACGGGAGCGGAGAGAACCTTGTCCGCTAGCGCCACAAAAGAGCAAGCGGCCAAACGCAGAAACAATCTTTTTTTTTTTCTCTCTCTCTCTTTTCTTGTCGCTATCGTGGAGAGGAGAAACTCAACGTCCCCCCTTTCCCGTTTCTCCCTGCGCCCTTTCGAATCGCCGCGCCCGTTTCTCCCGGAGTACAAAAACGACGGTGGCGAAAACACAAAAACAAGCGTGGTTCGGGGAGTGGCCGCTCACGACCCAAGCGCTCGCTGTCTAGGCCTGCCCTTTCTGCTCTGCGCTACCATATTGGTCACCGTTCGGCGCGCTCCTCCTCTCCTTTTTCCTGCGGCCGCGCGCTCTATGGCTCCGTCGTCGTTGTGCCAGGCTTTCTCCGTATAGAGGAGGCTATGGGTGTGTTTACCGCGGCCAAAAAAGTGGTCCCTCGATTTCCGCCTGATGACGTCATACAAGTGTCATGCTATCGCTGGTCGTGACCCTGGCGGCGTCCCAACAGTTGTGGTATATATAGCAGACGCCTGTTCTGCTGCAGGTCGCTCTCCACTGTGACAGTTCACGGAAGCTGGAGCAGCCGGAAGTTGGGACGCCTGGGACGCCGTGACGACAGCGACACTCGCGTTCGCTCGTGCTTTTCGCCAGCATTTCTACGGCCAACCGCCAGGATCGCGACATGCAACAGTATGACACTCCGGCTTCTGTGACGTCATTGGTTGTCACTTGGGGTCCACTTTTGATGTATGGGCGGGATAGGACGCTAAACACACCAGTCGAAGACGCGATCCAGGCACCATAGTTTTAACCAAGAGTACGTGTGATTGTAAATCGATGCCCCTTTTGGAGTAAGGTGTACCGTGAACTCTCCAGGATGGTTTCATGCGCTGTCGGAGCATGGAGATGTTGACGTACGCTCCGACTGCTGCGTCCAGGGCGCTCAGGCCTTCCCAAGGGGCCAGCGAGGCGTGCGCCGATTTTCCGTGGAACACGGCCTTGATCTGCGAATCGGGAATAAAATAGAAGCTGCATGTTTGTAGGGAATGTACAACGTGCGGTCCTATAAAGTTTGGCGCATTTCGGCATACCTCGCAAATTTCGAATTCGAAACGTGCCCTTCGCGACACTCTCAGCGCGAACGAGCTGTCGCTGGTTTTGTGTTTTTCTCTTGGTATTGAAGGACTGCCATCAAAGCTACTATAGTTGTAGATAGGGTCTCCCTAGGCTACTAGACTAAATGGCATATTTTGATGCCCCCAGTACCCTTTAAAGAAAAAAAAAAAAGCGAGGCTAGCCGAAGTTGTGTTCGCGCTAAAAGTGTCGCCAAGTGTACAGGCCTGAAATGGGGTAAGGGAACGTCGTTTCGCAAAACGTTTTATGTCTGTTTCAGAGCTCAACTCGGAGGTGGTAAACTTTAAAAGAAATTGAGCAAGAACCGGGGGCCGTGCATAAACTTTTCACCGTGCTAGTTACCTGACTGGCGGATAGAGGGTGTTGCCGCACTCATCGGCATTGAGGTTGCCCGAAAGAAAGAACGACCCTTGATGCGCTGTCTTTTTTGGAAATCGCCAAGGCGCACGATAGTGTACTACACGCACTACTAACGCAGTGCTTAGAGCAGTAGGAGTTGCAGAAGCGGTGTGTCACCCTTGTGCGTTGCCTGACTTGCCTCTACACGGGAAATGCGGTACGAGCAAAACTGGGAGGGGCAGAGTCAGATGAAGCGCGCCGTGAAACTCTGCGTGAATGAAGCTGCTGAACCAAAGTTTCTAAGACGAACGTCAGTTCCATACGCCCTCCGACAAAAGATCGAAGAGGAGCTGGATCGTCTTTAGAAAGAGAACATAATCACTCCTATGATGAACAGTAAGTGGGCGACTCCAATCGTCCCAGTGATGAAGGGAAATGGGCAAGTGCTCACATGCGGGGATTGCAAGGCTGAGTTAAGCCTCAAAGCCTATCTGGCTTCAAGGCTTAACTTAGCCTTAAGGCCAGATAGGTACCCATTACCGAAGTCTGAAGATCTCATTGTGAAAATTGCCCATGGGGAGAGGTTCACCACGCTGGATTGCAAACAAGCCTACTTCCAGATCCCCTTAGCGGAAGAATCAAGAAATTTTACTGTGATCCAAAAACGCACAAGTGTGAACAGCGTGCCATTTAGAATGGCCCCCAATATCGGCTATCTTCCAATGGCTATCGATGAACTCGTTTCGAACTTGCCGTGCACAGGTGCCTTTCAGGATGACATCGTGGTAACTAGGGATGCCGCGAACCACCCGAGGTTCGATTTTGAAAGGTTTCGATATTTTCGAACCGAACTGATATTCGATTTCGAAAGGTTTCGATATTTTCGACCGTACAGAGATTCTAATTAAAAAAATTCGCAACTTCCAAAAATCGTGGAGTTTCGAATTCGAAAAGTTCGAAGCTTTCACGGTTTCTAAAAGTTCGGGTTTGATTATTTCGAATATTGTTTTACTTGAGGTTCAAGAAATTCGAAGATTTCGAACTTTCCTAACTTGAAAATCGAGAGATTCGACTGCTTCGAATTTTTTTGGATCTGAAATTCGAAAAATTCGATCGTTTCGATTCTTATAGACATAAAGGTCGATAAATTCGAAGATTTCGAAGGTTTCGATTCGCTTTCAGCGCCAAATTAAAAAAAAAAAAAGCTTAGGTTTTGAATTTTTTTTAAAGTCACTCTTGCGACCCAGTAAGACCGAGAGAGACCAGACCGCTTTTTAAGCTTCTTGCGAACTCTTAGGACTAGCTCCGCGCTGCAGCGCATCAGCTCCTAAGAAGTCGCCAAAGGCTTAAAAACCGGTCTGGTCTCTCTCGGTCTTGCTCGGTCCCAAGAGTGTGAACGGCGCTTAACATTTTCACGCCTCACTGGTTTTTACGAAATCAGGTTTAGAAATGTTCGGGTGTGATATTTAGACTGCGCGAACTTGGTCAGGTAATTAAATGGGACGACGAGTGTCCCGGATGTGCTGGATTATTTGCCAGTGCAGAGTGACGTGTGCAGATCAGTAATTAATTGTGACCGCCAGCCCGGGGAGGAGGGGGTGCCCCGGCGCTCACTCACCGGGGCACCGCCATGTTTCCCCGCCGTCCTTACTATGCCGGTCACGTGACCTAAAATTCTCCCTCGTAGGGAAATGCGGTTAACTTCTAACCGCGGTTAAAGTTAACCAGCTTCGAGCAGACGGGCGCTGGAGTTCAAGCAGACGCCAACAACGGATGCACGAGACAACAAATCGCGCATGCAGTGTGGGAAAACAACAAAGGCCCGACTGGAGCTCTGGTTGCGCGTTATTCAGGAGGGGGGATCGGTGGCCGAGTGGTCTAGCGCACACCAGCTCGGAGCACGTGGAGCGAAAGCTCGCGCTGCAGAACCCAGGGATCCTGGGTTCAATCCCCACCCCTGCCCGTGTTTCGATCTGGATGAGCATCGTACCGGCGTGCGGTCGTGTATCACTACTGCGTGGTGCACGTTTAAGACCCCAGGCTAGCGGTTGTACTGCACTGGCTAAATTGCTCATCTACAGCTGGGAGACTCGTCGCCCGTTGAGGCAGACCAAGTTATAGGCTGTATAAACATACACACAACCCAATTATTATTATTCAGGACAAATATATCCCTGTTACACGGGCACACTTAACCGCGGTTAACTCAGCTTTAACTGCGGTTACGTGGCAGCACAGATGCGGCACTGTGCCTCGGACGGCTAGTTCAAAAGAAGTGAAGAAAGCGCGTGCACTGCTTTGATGGGTACTTAAGATGCTCAAGCGCACGTTCGCCCATAGCTCTGACCGCATCGCCGCAGAATGTTGTTGGCAAGTATTGTGCGCAAATTGTGGTTTAGCGTAACTGCAGTTAAGTGTGCCCGTGTAACAAGGGTATTATTGATCTTCCTCATTATTCTTTTTTAGAGCGCAGCTCTTAGGCGCCCGTTTCCGGCTTGAGCGGCGTCGCCGTCGCCGTCGGCGTAACCGCGCGGTGCATTATGGGTAAATTTCCCCGCTAAATTTAGCAGGAAAATTTCCCCGTTAAATTTAGCGAAAAATTTCCCCCGTTAAATTTAGCGAAAAAAATTCCCCGCTAAATTTAGTGGGAAATTTTCTCCACTAAATTTGGAGGAAAAATTTCCCCCCTAAAATTAGCGAAAAACTTTTCCGCTAAAATTAGCGGAAATAATTCCCCACTAAATTTAGCAGGAGCATTTCCCCACTAAATTTAGCTGAATTTTTTTTCCTAAATGGGAGGCGAGCAGGAGAGAAGGATGGGCACAGCCCCCTCTCCGTACCTTCCCCTCCTCCTTCTCAAGAGCTGCGCTCTAATTCGACGTTACAGGGGATTATACGTCTTTCTTTTTTTTTTTTCTTATTCTTGGCTAGGTGCCTAAGGTTTTTCGAGCTTGCCCGTTTCTAGGGGAAAACCCGCAAATCATCATCATCACGACACGGTTGCTTTAATTGTTGGTTTTTGTTTCAACGTGCCCGCGGCTGTGTTCATGTACTGCGCCGTTTTCGCTTACTCCTGTGATAAAAATGCGCCTCTTAGCACAAAACCCATCAGACACTGGTATCGAGCCCCGTTGAGAACTACTCGGTGGTCTCGAACCCGAATTGCGGACTTAATCCGGTCATGTTGTTTGTTTATTTTGACCATGTTTGGCGGCGAAACGACTCAACTAATGCAGAAGGAGAATTAATATTGTTTCCAGCCGTTGCCGCTGTAATTCCTGCATGTGTACCTTAGGAAAAAAAAAAAAAAAAACACTGTGAACTTTATAAAAATGTGCTCAATTGCAAAGATCAGATGACCTCACAAGTTTACTGGTTCACTGTTTCATTTTTTTTTTTTGCGGAGGCCATGTTCCTGCGAACTATGGAGACAGGTAAAGTCTGTATAATGACGCAGATAATATTTAAAGCATGGAGTGATAAATTGTAAGTATCTGTTTCTCTTTAAATATTTTAATTGTCATAACATATTTTAATAGGCCAACGTAGGTCGAGTTGTAAACTTTTTAATTGCCGGCCATGCTGAAGTACTCATTACGTACTCAAAATGTTGGTCTTGGGAAATAACCTATTTATTACTCGTACACTTGCTTACGACGTACTCAGGAGAGGAAATATTTTACACGCCCATCATGTGATGTCTGAAGTCTGTCTTCCATTTCCTAAATGATATTAAGAGGTGCCAATAGAAATGACATCCGGCAGGTCTGGCCGAATTCCGGTCATCGACCCGTTGAGACATATCTTTATTCGTTTGAAAGGATACACTTGGTAAATGTCACCCGCCGCTTAAAATAAATCTCGGCATCGACTAAGTTTCACTCGTCTATTTCCCATGCAGGCGTCTTTTCGGCATAGCGTACTGCTGGTTCCAAACACTCTTAAGCTGTCTGCGACAGCTATTACGCCTGAGGAGCCTCAACCATTATGTCGAAATTAACTAACCGAATTGAATTGCTTAAGGAATTCGTTAACTAGAGCGACTGAAAGCATGTAGCAGATGCAGTTCGTTTAAACTATAAATAAACCGAAAAAGTATTAGGATACCGAATGCGCGATCATAAATCGTATCACAAAAACGATTAAGTATGTCTAATATATTTAAGTGTAATACGACTCATATCACACTTGAATGCATTAGACATACTTAACCGTTTTTGCCATACGATTTGTGATAGAGCATTTGGTATCCTAAATACTTGGAAGGTTTATTTATAAATTGAAGAAGCTGTATTTGCTATAGAAACTATATTTTTTTTCTCATATTATATGAGGAAAAAATATTCCCTGATGTTGATGTTACTATTACTCATAATCATCAAAAGTAACGCAAGTTCGTTACCTATCTTCACGAGTTTCCCAGCATATTCAGAAGAACTGAGTCGTTTCATTTCTTTTGAAGGCAATGCGCGATGTTTTTAAAGGAACAGACGGGGCGGTGCCTTAAGCTGAACAATTCTGTCAACTTTGTTTTGTATGTGCAGTATATAGGATACTGTATGCGCGATCATTAACGGCTATCAAGCCCCTCGTGCAAATGAGTACCGTCAGATCGATGTCAGTGCGCTTAACGTCGAACTGAAGTTTTGGGGTGTCTTATATGGGAGAAAGGGTGTAAGAATACACCACTTTTTTTAGAGTGTATTCTATGGGCCAGTACGTACTGTGCTTGTGAATGACGTACCAAAATCGTTGAACAAGCATGCGTTGCCGTAAGTAATTGGACCCTAGATGTTTGTGGTGTGTTAGAGTCATCTAAATAATGACCACAGCGGTTCTTACGCTGTAAAACGAGCCGCACAAATCGACGCCATCTCATAGAAGGCTAAACTCTCACCGAATGTGCACTGAGGTGTTGGACGTTACCTCGTGAAACTTCTTGGGTTAGGAATTCACTTCCGGTATAACGCGAGGCCAACCCACTTGCTAAAGTCATCGGTGGACGTGTTAATTCTCACAGACGGCCGAGTTAGCAATGACTACTTAGTGGCGCCATATGTCCCGATAGGCGCAGGTAGCAGACGACGCACTCTCTCGTCTGCCAGCTGGCTCGCATCTAGCATATTGACTTAAACAGCGCTAATTTGGCAAGGAAGGAAGAGACAGCAGGAAGGAAAAAATAGCAGACCCTAGACAAGCCGCCGACGGGTCGTCTTCTCGATCGCCGCCTCGTCTTAAATTCAGATAAAGACTGCTGAAAAAAAATGAGTGTATGATGATGCCCGTTTGTATTGCCAACTACTCCGCCAAACGCAGTCGATCAAGGTGAAAAAAAAAAGGAACTCGACTGAGCCTAAAATAATTTCCCTCGTGCATAGAAAGATACACAGCGAAAATTCGTCAACATGGTGTCCGACGAGATTTGGAAACTCAAGTACATCACGTGAAATAGCCCTAATTCAAACGGGGGATAGGGGCACCAAAATCAAAAGGAGGGGGACGAGGGGAGATAACTACTTATTAATTTTTCAGAGATCCCTATGACAGCTTTCACAGCACCAAAGAATACGTTATACTAAAAAAATTTAAACAAGGACGAAGAGGCAACAATGAAGACGAAGAAGCAACTACACAAAGAACAGAACCTAACAACCACAAGTTAACTTAAACAACAACTGCCGATTTGCGGGCGCACTCTCTTGGCTAAGTTCTACTGGGATTTTCTTCATTTTTTCTCTTTACAACTTAACTATTCTAAGCAGTTTATTTGTAGTTTATATTTTCGACTGTACTAAGTCTGCAGTGCCAACGCGAGTGCAGACCGGAGCACTTTATTTTCCATTCCTTTACTCGCTTCACCTAAATTCTATATTCGGCGATTCAAAGCAGAAATACATTGGTGAGTGCGTGTTCACACTCACCAGACTCCGTGCGGTCATCATGAGGCGGAGGGCGTCCCTGTGCTCGGGGTGGGACATGAGCGCCACATCGACGTCGTCGAAGGCGCCCTTCTGCAACATCAGCTCTTTGCCCATGCCGCCTTCTTCAGCGGGTGTGCCCATGATCACGACCTGCAACCGTCGAGAACACGACTCCGTCAACCCCCATCATCCGCATGAATGCTGTGTCAAGAAAATGTGCAAGGGGAGAGGCGACCTCGTCAGACTTTGGTGTCCTTTCTGTCTCTGACCCCCAGTCAAATAATAAACACACACACGCACACACACACACACACACACACACACACATATATATATATATATACATATATATATATATATATGTGAGACAAAAATGCAGCGGAGGATGCCGAAAAGAATAAACGGCAGAAAAATGTACTCTAGACGGTTGTTTGCAGTTTCATAACATATTATTCAGTGGGAGTTTCGGCCTGAGACAGACCTTTTTCAAGGCTGGTTACATGACATGAAAAATCGACACACCTCGGCTACATCACGTGGCCCATGACGTCAAGGGGTAAAACTAATTCAAAACACCTGGGAAGAAGCACACAAAACACCTTCAAGAGCTCACGATACACCGTCGAAGGATGAGATCCCAGCGTAAACATGGCCGGGGAGAGAGAGAAACAACACGTGCAACACCGAAAAATCTAACTGTTAGATTTTCCGGTGTTGCACGTGTTGTTTCCGCACGTCGCTATTCTTTCTCTACAAGATTAGAGAAAATTAATACGTCACTCAAAATTCACACAAAAGCAGCTTTGCCGTTAGTTGCGGTGGCCCGATCTTTGGCATGCTTTGACCATTTCAGTGGCTGAAACGACTAGGGCATCCTGACCACGTCAAGATGCCCTAGCCGTTCTCGGCGACAGATGGCTCGGGCGAATGACATTTGACAGTAGTGTCGATAGTCTTACGATAGTTGACTATCGATTGCACTATCGATAGTCTTTTTACTATTTATAGCTATATTTTGCTCCCGCTATCGATAATATCGATAGCTTTGCATGACTACATGTTAGTCATCGTCATTTGTTGGTGACATACCTGCGCTGTTAAACATACACCGGGACGGCAAACTTTAGATTGGTGCATAACGAAACACACACACACACACACACCTAGCAGCTCAATGCCGCAGGCCCTATAAAAAATTAAAAATTAGCTCCGTTGACCTTGAGCTGACAGTGCTGTGGGAGTTATGCACTCGCCGGACCAATCAACCGCCTCCCTTGCACCACCTAACACCGCTCCCTGAGCACTTGTGTACCGACGGAAGCGTAATCACGTGGCTAAAGGTAGACAGGACTGGTCCTACCAGCACGTAGCTTCCACCGTACTGTCAGCTAATGAATGAATGGAGTAGGGTCCTTCCCGGGGGAAAAAGACTCGTGAGCCCGTCACAAAATAGCCCGAAGAGCGATCCACGAATCCCAGTGAAAGCATAGCAACAGCCCCTTCGGTGTTCCTTTCTTGCCGGTGCAACTAATCCTTGTTGCTCAGATTTGGGGATTATAAGCCGCTTAGACGCTTAGCATGCGAGAAGAAAATTGGAGGGGCCCTAACAATAGAAGGAAATCTGTCAGAAAGAATCTTTTTGCGCAAGGGCTTTAAAGGCCGACGACAATTACGCGCTTTCCACTTTTCCCTCGCTTCTTCCTCACCCTCATTCTACCCTTTCCATTGTTCCCCGTTTTCTCCTCTCCCCTCCCCCTTCCCTCGTGCCCTACGCCTGCTCCGCTAAGCCCACGGCGGCGAAGCCATAGACTTCAACAAAAAGAAAAGGATTACGTTACAAAAGAGCAACCCTAACATGACTGACAGGCGGCCTTGAGTTTGTGAGTTACAATGCCGTTGGCGTCAGTGCAGGTTTCTAGTCAGCGTGCCGTGCACGGGTACTTCTTTACAAGTTCTCCTTTGAGTTTTCCTATTTTTTTATTTTTTTTTTTGGGGGGGGGGGGGGGGGGGGAGAAGGGAAGAGGGGGCGGGGGGGGAGGGGGGGCGACGTTTCTAGATACAGTTGAAAGCCGTTCTTTGTTTTTAGTGCTTCCTTTCGTTATATCGAGGCGATACCCACGATTTTGAAAAATATCGTCCTACCATGCGCAGCCCCCACGCAGGTGCTGGTTCGAAAGTTGTGGCTATGAAAACATGTGATTACGTGTCTCAGGATGCACTAAACTCTAAACCCCAATACAGAAAAAAAAAAGAAAAAAAATATATATAACGGACAACAGTAGCACGACTTTGGGTCTTATTGTTCATTATTTTAATTTTCCTTGTCTGGGGGTTTAGATTTTGATGTTTCATAAGCAGGCCGCCTGTGCACTTAATCCTATCGAGATACGTTATGAGTAAGCTGTACATTTTTCCGTGTTCATTTATCAAAAACAAAAACAAAGAATCGGCGGATGTTTTTTTTTTTGTTTATTTTTTTTTTGTGTGTATTCATTTTATAAACAAGACATATCTTGGAGATATGTCTCGTACGGAAAGTAAGAACGGTTATTACCGGTAAAATAACCTAATGGAAATATTAAGGGTTTATGTCTAAGCGCACAGGGTCTCCAAAAAAAAAATCATAGGTAGAGCAAGAATTCTTAGAAATTGGTATTATGGTTTTCGTCGAATTCGTAGTGTTGGCATCAACCATTGCCTCTTGGGGTTTTTCGGTTTAACCGAATTTGTGTTTATGGCGCTGAAGGACATTTAACGGTGTTCCTCGGTTAACACCGGAAAATAGGCAATAGGAAATGGCGGATATGAATGGAATGTTTGACAACAGTGGGTTTATCTGCCCTTAAATCATTCTATCGATCCAACAGGAGGCCTTTCTTTCTCTCCCACTCTGGGAAGGCACAATCCACACGTGTCGGCTCGGCCAATTTCTGCGGCGGCCGTCTCCTGCGAGTGTCAAGATGGTGCAGCACAAAGCGGATAATAAAATTAGAGGAAGATCCATTGGTGCATCCTTAGCGAATGCGTCAGCATGACTCTTGGGAGGCGCTACACACGTGCCCATTTGGGAAACGCTAAGGCTTACGGCTTCGCTTTTTTTGTTTTGGCTTTCTCTTTAGGCTTCCTCATTTGGTTCCTCGATTTTTTTGCTTGTTTTTGTTTGCTTCGTAATGGGGTCAGAGTTAGCGTTTTGGAAAAGGGGACGTGTGTGGCGTTTCCCAAGGGTCACGCCAACGCCTTCCCGAAGGATCCTCCGATGGATCTTCCTTTATATGTTTCCGGCCTTGGAGGCTCTCTTTTGCCCGCCTTGCACGCTTTTCAGCGGCGTCCGCCGACTGACGCTGCTTTCGCTGTTCACCAGTTTCGGCAGCCCATCTCCTTCGTTCACAATCCGTCCTCTTTTGCCGCCTTCTTGAACCACCGCTGGTACTTGGTTCACACTCACTTTCGTGGTACAAACCAAGGCATACGCGCTCCGCACGCCTGCAAGTTCAGTCTCAGCCCCGCATTCGCGCGCACATTGGCTTCCGCTATATAACGTCGCCTCCCTCCAGCCCTTGTCCTTCACTACTTTCCTCCATCTACGCAGCCCGCTTACCTTTCCACTGTTTTGTTACAGTAGCTTAATAGGTGTGTTCAGAGACGGACGCCATCAAATGTTCCTGTCATTGGTACTAATGCTAACGCATTGATAGGCGCTACCTTTCCTCGAAGCGAGGCATCCGCGTCCAGTGCCGCTTTGACGGCGATGCCGGCGCCGACCGAGCTCATGGCGATCAGGTTGTGGCCGCAGGCGTGGCCCAGGCCGGGCAGGGCGTCGTACTCGCACAGCAAGGCCACCACGGGACGGCCGTCTGGACGAGGAAAGACACGCTCGAGCAGACGGCCAGGGCCAAGGGCCATCCGATCCAAACCACAAAACGGCGCGTGAAAAGGTTCGGAAAGCGGAGTCTATTTTTTATATATGCATAACTTACAAAGCCTGCTGCGGCTCAAAAGTGTGCGGTAGCGTTTGGATGACCCAGCTAGCTCACCGGCGACTGGCGGAGGGGGAGGGGGGGGGGGGGGGGGGGGGGGGTTGTTTTTTCTGCTGGCCGCAGCGGGCAGTAGTCGCTCCGGGCGGGAGAGGGAGAAAAAGCCCGTCTTGTGGTACATGATGGGGATGACGAAGCCCCTTTTGTGGAATTTTCAGTGACTTTGAAGTGGAGAATGAAACAAAAGCGACTGCTACTTAAGACTCTTTTTGTCCTTTTGTTGGATTCCCCAAAAGCAAAGACCGCCCTGCACCCCCCCCCCCCCTCCATTGACTATCTTTTAGAGTCATTTTTGAAATCATTTCCTTACGTCTATTAAGTAGTATCGCAAAAGTAATTTGGTCGTTTTGGAAGTGCTGAAATACCTTGTACCATTTTCTATGTTATTTTATTTCCATTTCCCGTTGGCACCCTTTGTTACTGCAATTTTCCTACCAAGGGATCTGTGAAATAAGTCTCCCTCATGAGGACGGTACAAAAAGCCCGTCTTCAAAAATGGCGCGAAATTCGTCGACTTGAAAATTCCAAGGAATCGGAAAGTAACGGTTATTTTTTCGAGTAAAGGTCACTTACTTTTTCTGTCAAGGAATCAAGGAATCTAATTGAATATTTTTTTATCTAGTGTAGATTTCATGTCACATCCGTCAAGATGGACTCGGGGTATCCCGAACTTTGCAGTCGCTGGATTTGGTTGGTGAAGCTCTCTCCGGCTGAATGGTGACACGACTTGTTTAACGCCGCTCTTAAGCAATTGGTCACGATTCCTCTTTTGGTGAGTTTGGAATGAGCTGAGTCGAATCGGAGTAGCTTTTTCTTTGATCTTGGTAAATACATCCAGCACAAATGGTTGTCCTGGAAGGTCATTTGCAAGTCTAAAAATTGAAGGACGCTGTTTGTGGGAAGTTCATGTGTAAATTTGAGTCCTTGAGAATGCTTCACAAAGGTGGCGTGAAGGTCGTGAACTGCTTTGGTGTTGCTGTTTTCCAAACGATTACAGAGAAGTACGAGGTAGTCGTCGACGTATCTAAAAATACGCGTGACTTGGCCGCTTGGAAGATTGTCGGCAATAAGCCGGTCGCACTTGGACAGGAAAATATCACATAACACAGGGGCAACGCATGACCCTATGCATATTCCCTTTCTTTGAACGTAGTTCTTGCCATTAAACGTGACTACAGTGGATGAAAAGTAGAACCTTAAGAGCTCTAGAAATGATCCTACCGGTAGGCCACAATTATTTTGAAAGGCTATTGCTCCATTTGCTTCAATAGATTCATTTACTGCTTCAAAGAGTTCAGCATGTGGGATGGAATAGAATAAATCTTCAACGTCGAGAGAGAGCCCATAACGTACTGTTGAAGCATTGGTTTTTAGATATTGAATTAAGGCATCAGAATTGGGTACCAGGAACGGATCATCAAGTTGGAGAGTGGAGAGTTGACGGAGAAGGAAACGTGAAACCGCTCCCTGCCAAGAACCTCTTTCCGTGACGATTGCGCGAAAAGGACACTCTTTCTTGTGCGTTTTGGCAGTAAAGAATATATCTAGCAGGTCTTCTTTTGCAGACGTGATCTTTTTCATTAGTTGTGTCAATTCAAGTTTGTGACACAATTGAAGCGCCTTGGCCTTCATTGGCTTAGCTTTGAACCCTGATAACTCTTTGAAGTTTTTTGAAATGGCTATCCCAGCTTTCTCTAGATAGGTCGTTCTAGGAGCTACAACAAACCCACTTTCTTTATCAGATACCAGTACAGTCAGATCGTTAGTTTTGAAATGGTTGGTTATATAAGCCGATTTTGTCTTGATCTTGTTGTGAGGATTTACTTTCAGCAACACACCAACACAGTCGTCAATGCAGCGGACTCTATCGGTTTCCCGGGCTTTCGCTGCGATGTTATGAACGGTTGATAGCATATTTACTCCTTTTCTGTGAGGCGGAGTACAAAATTTGGGACCTTTCTCGAGCTCCTTCGCAATGTTTACAGGAAGTATGGCACCTCCCAACAATGTGACACACTCGCCTTGCTGTTGTTTCCTGCTGTTGCGGTGAGTTTTTAGTTGAGGAACGTAGGACCACCAGATGAATTCAGTCATCTTGCTAGCTGTGAGCAGATAAGACTGGAATCTTGCGTCGTGACCGCCACTGGGACTCCCAAACCCAGCAAGAACCTTAAGGCACAGACGAAAAAACCGGACTTGTTGAAGATTTATTCTATTCCATCCCACATGCTGAACTCTTTGAAGCAGTAAATGAATCTATTGAAGCAAATGGAGCAATAGCCTTTCAAAATAATTGTGGCCTACCGGTAGGATCATTTCTAGAGCTCTTAAGGTTCTACTTGTCATCCACTGTAGTCACGTTTAATGGCAAGAACTACGTTCAAAGAAAGGGAATATGCATAGGGTCATGCGTTGCCCCTGTGTTATGTGATATTTTGCTGTCCAAGTGCGACCGGCTTATTGCCGACAATCTTCCAAGCGGCCAAGTCACGCGTATTTTTAGATACGTCGACGACTACCTCGTACTTCTCTGTAATCGTTTGGAAAACAGCAACACCAAAGCAGTTCACACGCCACCTTTGTGAAGCATTCTCAAGGACTCAAATTTACACATGAACTTCCCACAAACAGCGTCCTTCAATTTTTAGACTTGCAAATGACCTTCCAGGACAACCATTTGTGCTGGATGTATTTACCAAGATCAAAGAAAAAGCTACTCCGATTCGACTCAGCTCATTCCAAACTCACCAAAAGAGGAATCGTGACCAATTGCTTAAGAGCGGCGTTAAACAAGTCGTGTCACCATTCAGCCGGAGAGAGCTTCACCAACCAAATCCAGCGACTGCAAAGTTCGGGATACCCCGAGTCCATCTTGACGGATGTGGCAGAAAATATATTAATGCAAGAAAAAATACAAGACCGAAGCAAAGAGAAGAGGAGCCGACCAGCCATAGTGACGTACATCCATTCCATATCACAACTTGAAAAAGGTAGCCAACAGGTTTGATGTCAGGGTGGTGCTTTCTGCACCTGACAAGTTGAAAAGGCTGTGCCCGAAAATCAATTCCCAACACGACAAACAGGACAAATGCGATGTCAAGCATGTTAATAAGTTTGTGAACTGCCTTAGAGGCGTAGTATACGAGATTTTATTCTCGTGTGGGAAGGTGTACGTGGGTCAAACTGGCCGGTGTGTGAACATGAGATTGCGAGAGCATGCACTGTCTCTTAAGTCTTCACCGGCGGGACATCTTGCTACGAGATTGCAAGTGTACTCCTCTATTCCATCGAACAAAAATTCTAAAAAAGTTCAGTGATCAACGAACAAGAGAAATTTATGAGGCGCAAGTCATAGCAGCTAAAGGGGATACATGCATCAGTGCACCGTCGGTAGCCTTATCGGCGAAGGAATTGCACTACTTACAACGTTTTGTGCGAGAACTTCGTTTAACTAGATTAATTTTCAGAGTCCTCTTCTTCCTCTTTCTTTTTCTTTCTTTCATTTAATTAGAGTAGGTTTTCATTTGAATGTTTTGTGTAAAAAATTTTTTAATTTTTTAAATTTTTTTATTTTTACCGTTTTTTTTTCTTACTTCTTAATTTTGAAGTCAAAAATAATTGTTGCTTTCTTTCGTTTTCGTTAGTCTTCTTTTTCATTTCGTATATGTCCTTGCACTTCTGCTTTATCTTCCTTTTATTCTTTACTAAATATCAGTTGCGAGTCAGCGCCTGTCCGTGTCTGTGTCTTCTACTTGTCCTCGTCTTTAGCGCTACTTTTAAATTCGTAATGTATAACCAACTAGCCCGTCACATGATCCTTGTACACCATCGAATATGCCGGCGTCCCGAAAGAAATCGAGAACTTGAAGCTGTCTTCCAGCTCAGGGGATGACCAAATAAATTCTAAGGTTCTAATGAACACAAAACACACATCCGCAGCTTTTCCTTCCTGGCATATTTTCCACTCACTTAGTCTTTCTGAAATTCCGCGGGATTGGAAAACTGGCAACGCAACCCCTGTTTTCAAATTTGGTGACGGCCACCTAACAAAAACTATTGTCTCATCTCCGTGACTAGCGTATTGTCTAAGCTCATGAAATGCGTACTTTACTCCAGTATAGTCAATTATGTAGAAGATAACAACCTCCTGATATATCATCTACATGAATTCCGTAAAGCATAATCTTCTGACACCCAACTAAAGGAATTTCTTCATGACATTCAAGCAGGCTTTGATACAGACTGACGCCATTTTTCTTTACATTTTCCAAAGCAACTGTTAGAGTGCCTCATTAACGTTTTACATTAAAACTTGACGAATTTAAAATCGAGCCCGCTATTGTAAAGTGTACATCCAAATTTTTGACTAACCGCACTCAGTACGCCACCGTTAATTGTTCTAAATCCCCCTCGTGCGCGGTAACCTCAGGTGTCCCTCGGGGCAGTGTACTCAAGCCCTTACTCTTTTTATTCTACATTAATGACATTCATAAGAACACCTCGTCATAGTTCGTTTGTTCGTAGATGACTGCGTAATTTACAGGCCCATTCTCTCGCCCGACGATCATCAAACCTTAGAAACAGATATTACACAAATTATTCAATTGTGCACAAAATGTCAGATGAACCTAAATTTCTATAAATGCAAATTCCATTCGTTTTCTCATTGTGTTTCTTCTTCGACCCTTTTCTTACCATATTGATGCCTTCCATATCACCGTTTGCGGTTCATATAAATATTTCGGTATTCATTTAACATCCGACTTTTCATGGACGTCTCACATCAATAATACAGAAGCTAACGCAGGCCGTTCCCTCAACTTTTTGCGCCGTAACCTGAAACCCGCAACACCAGAGATAAAACAACTAGCATACTTAAACTTAGTTCGGTCTAAGCTTGAGTTCGTTTCTCCTCTATCGCGCCCTTGGTAATCTTATTTAGGTATAAAACTTGAATCCATCCAAAAACAGAGCTTAGCGCTTTATTTTTTCTGATTACTCAACCTCCTCAAGCATATCTGGATTTCGCGAAACTGTTAACGTTCACACACTTTCATTAAAACGCCGAGTGTTCCGTCTTTCTCTCCTTCACCGTATCTTTCACCAAAACATGTCTCTTCGTGAATCGCTGCTTTAACCCCCGTTGCAGACGTTTCCCCGCTTTGATCACTCCTGTAAGTTGCGGACTATGTTTTCGTCAACTATTTCATACAGTAATTTAACTTTACCCTTGGGCTTCAAATATTGGAGCATTCTACCAAACGACATTGTTACTGTAACTGACACACATACATTTCATTTTTGCTTTATCCGACTAATTTCTTCTACTATGTTAAGATTGCGTGCAAAATTGTTTGGTTGAAAAAATAAATAAATATGCGCCGTTCTTTTGTGTAATGCCATTAAAGGCCTTCAAGGATAATAAATGATGATGATGACGATGAGATGATGATGATGATAATGAGTGCAGCCAAGCGCGCACTGTTATTGGTTGAGATCGCGGAGAAAGAAAGGCACGGAGGAGCAGGGTCAACAAACGCACGAGGTGAGCAAGGCGCAGACGAACTTGCGCGCCGTAAAGTTGGTTGCAGCATTCGAGGGTTTTGACCTCACTAAATAAGCTGCGGGTAACCACGAGCAAGTTGTACGTGCTTGCAAGCACGGCGCACCAGCCGGGAGCTCATATAAGGCGTGAATGCCTGAACCCGCCTCACCTCCGTACTCGGCTCGGAACGCTGTCGGCAGGCAGTAGTTCCGCTGAACCCGAAATCCCTGCTTCTCCAAGAGGTCGGTGAGGTACTCGTGCGCCTTTTCCTCCTTGAACGCGGTCTCCGGGTTGTCCCAGAGGAACTGACCGAGCTCGTGTAATTCATCGGCCCGGCTGGCGACGGCTTCCATCACAAGTTGGTTGTCCCGCATCTGAAATGAAGGGAGCTGCTTGTACACCCCGTTCTCCTTCAAGGTGCTTGAGATAGCAGCGAAAGCTACACGCGCGAGCTTTTTTGTTGCCTCAAGACGTACTTTCCCATGCTCTGTTTACATTTAAGCTAAGGCTGCAGCCAAAGGCACAAGCGCTTGTCTTTTCCATACTTCGTTCACCCTTAAGGCATTTGCTGCGGTTGCGTTCTCATGCAACCGAAACGACCGCAACAACCGTGACTCATAAATTGATTCACGAAGTTACCTCTTGCATCGGTGGATGCTGTGTACGGCGGATACTAGTCCCAGTGACTTTGTCGTTATAGTCGTTTCGGTTGCATGCGAACCGAACCAACGCAGATGAGTGAACCAGCCTTGAAACTGAGACTGCAGACAATGCCACAAGCCCGAGAGTTCGAAGTCGCTGCATTGAAGCGTTCTTCCACAGAACGAGCACTCGTGCTAGAAATGCACGTCTTAAAGCAAGGAGTGCATGCTAGTTCGCGCTTGTAGGTTTGGCTAAAGGCTGAGCTTAAGGGTAAACAGAGTATATATTCTGTTCACCTTTAAGCTGGGGCAGTAGCCAGAGCAACGAGCGAGGGCTAGCTTGCGCTTGTTGCTTGGAAACGTGCTCTTCTATAAACAATTCCAATATTTACAAGTCCTCAACCCAGCGTGCAATCTTCTTAGCCCAGCACGGGCATGTTTGTCGCTTCTCAAAGCGAGCTAAACCACGCGTCATACGCACAAACACTAAATACCGAACCGTCAGGAGCCCTTTTCGTAAAGGTTTAGAACCACTAAATGAGCTACGCTTCAGAGTACCGACAATTACCCATCCAGCAGCTAAAACCAGACTTGTACGTAACGCGCCACAAGCAATGGATTACTTGTATTCGATTACATTTTACTGTAATTTTGTAACACTTCAATTACTTCCTTTAAAGAGTAACGATCCTTGTAATCGACTTACTTTTTGGTTTTAATATATTAAAAAATCACTCATTACAATTCTCTCAATTATTTTTTTGTTTTATTAGGGAAAAGGGGGGGGGGGGGGGGGGGAGTGGTTAGATGCGCTGGAAATACTCAGCCCTGGGCAACGGTAAACATTTTTTTCTCGAAACCACTAAGCACGCGACCTCGCTGGTTAGTAGGCCATTTCACTTTGCTTCGTTTCCTGGGTACAGTTTTTCTTTTGTACAGTGGAGACTACGTTTGGGTGTGTAAAATGACCTTGTCCAGCCTCTTGTGAGTAATGTATTTAAACAGCGCTGTTTATATCTATTTATTTTTTCACGAGAGGGATTGGGTCAGATTGGTGTCACTCACTCAGCTCTAAGCAAAAACGGTCGAGGCTTTTTTTGCTTTTCTTTTGTCCAAACAACTGAGCGTAATCCTTGGGGTCTCCCCGACGATTACGCTACCGTAATAAGAAAAAAGTGAATGAAAAGTAACGAGGAAAGTAATCGATTACTTTAGAGTAATTTTTGATTACTTTTTAGAGGTTGTAATTGAAATTGTAATCGGTTATTTTTTACAGTGAAGTAATTGTAATTTTAATCGGTTACTTTTTTCAGTAACGTGTACAAGTCTGGCTTATACTCATGGTTGCCAGTTACCTCAAGCTTTATCTGAAATCACAGAAAACGAATTTTCGCCCTCCACACATGTTTAAACAGTTCGCGACAGAGCAAAGCAATATTACATGAGCTTTCTAAGTTTCTAACAACGAATCTAATGCTGAGGAAGTCGCACTTTTGAATTATGACAATCGGCAGTTGCGTCTGCTCTGCGCTAAGCACAAAGATGACGGCGCCCACAATAATATCGAGGAACAGAGTGCCGATACTCTAAGCGCGGCTCACTTAGTTGCTTTTAAAATCTACACTATGTTCACCTTTAGAGGGGTCATTAAACAATGTCGGGCTGCAATGTTCATGACATTGCAGAGGCGTACTGGTTCTAGTGCGGCACAAGTATGCTGGCACAGACAGCCATTGATTCAGAGGCGCTTTTTTTAGCGCGGTAAAATTGCGAGGACAAAAGGGGACTATTTTTTTCAGTTTTGCCTTCGCAAAGCTTAATGACGTAATTGTAGGATCGAAGCGACCCGCCTGACGACAGTCGAGCGCGACTCACGGATTGGGAGCAAGAACTGTGTGAGCTAGCACTCGACTTCGGCTCGTAACAGTCAGTGCCTCGGCGGAGACTCGGGTAGTGGTTTGTGTCCAACCACCGCTGTGAGGAGAAAATACGAACGCTAACAATGCCTAGAGCTCAGCACGCCTTTTCTACTTCGGCACCCTTGGCGCGTGTCTACGATTAACGTTGGTGGCACATCTTCTAATTTTAGTACGCCCTAACACGATTGCAAGTGCGGCAACTGTCCGCCACCATGTCTCTGCTCAGGAGAGCAAGCCTGTGCAATAGAGCTTGCTCATAATCGTGGAGCCATGTATCGGAGATGTCGGAATCATGATTCAAACTGCCTCAGAGAAGGCGGCGTGTCATCTTTGTTTTGGGAATGTGATGCATCTTGATCGAAGTAAGGCATCCATTTACTCAAAGCGCTCCTCGTCAATCTGACCGCTTCTGATGCAGCACTCGCATTCGGAGTCTCAAATTCGCTGATCTGTACAAATCGCTAAAAAATAATTCCTTCACCTGGCCTTTGTCTTATATACGAAATGTGTTCCGATGTCGCTAGGCTTATGTCAGTTCTGACCCCGCACCCCTGCCGAACACTAACGGCTTGTACGGTGAAATCGAGAGGCTGCGCGTTTCGATAATTAACTCCGAAATTCGCGGAACGCGTCCTTTTAGCTAATTTTTTGTTTAAAAATACTTTTTTGCTAATTTGAAAGTAAATATTCAACGAACGCTTATATAGTATATATGAGTGTGATTGATGACAGACCTCGAAAGGTATAAACTTGCGAGAATAGTTTTTTTTTTTTCTTTTAAACCAACGGTCACCGCTATTTTGAAACTCCTCCTCCAGAATTGGGTCGAAACTCGTGCGAAGAAGCCGTCAACCTTGAGGCTTGCAGCCCGGCATTATCGACAACGTGCGAATAGGCGACGCCAAAATGCATAAGGATCTATTGCAAGCTTGCAAAAGCTACGTCCACGTGCCCACTACACGTACTGACACGTATGAGGAACCAGCCGAGTCGCCATTCTTGCAATTGTTTAGAGACACTGACAGGATGAAAGCGGCAGAGAGAAGAGTTTCAGCTGTCCCGCCGTGCACACTCGTGCACGCGCGTGCACGGGTGTGCACTCTCGGCCAAAGGCCGCGTGCTCAAAAGTGGAATGTCCTGCCGCTCTTACCTTGTAAGTTAGAATGCAGTGACTCAGTCTCTTTCTGGTTACGGTGATGCTGGTGAGATCACTCTTTCTAGTACCCGATGTTGACTGCACGCGTTCACGATGACAGTGCAAGGAAATAGTCGGAAGCAAAATGCCGCCGAAACGACACAGTCAATGCCATCAGGTCGTGACGAGAGAAGCTCTTTTTCGCGCTCCTGAGCGAAAGAGGAAACAAACACGATGCGAGAAAAACTGTCTGATATCACGGCCCATAGCAAAGCGGGTTTGAAGGTGAGCTACCTTCTACACGTACCAGGAAAACGAGTATCGAAGCGGAATAAACCCCTTGGAAAAATGTGCACGCGCCAATTAGTGGCAATCCCAGAAGCTGCGATGTTACCACCCAAGGTCGCTGGCCTTCCGAAGCGTAGTAAGTATCCTTGCTTGAGAAGGATGTTGGCGAAGAGCAGGTGTGCAGGGAACCGGTCAAGAAGGCGGTGGATGTAATTACTTTAACAATCACCTTGTCCGCAAAAAAAAAAAAAAAATAATAATAGCTCAAAAAAAAAAAAAAACGTAAGATTTTTACGTTGCCTGTTTTTGACAGAATGCTTTATTCTGCTCAGTTTCAACGTGATCATCTCGCGAGACCGGACTACGTGCAGGCGGTTGCTCCTAGCTGGCTGTGTCACGCTAATGAATTATGCGGCGTAAAGTCGGTCTTCCTTTCAGCTATTGCGAAATTGGTTTACGCTGTCGAGGAGAACTTTATCTACTGCAGTACCGCTGCAAGCCTGGGGTCTTTGAGTTGCTCAACAAACCGTTTCAGCGGTATTTCTAGCTACAAAAACTACACGCATTCTCAGAGTGCCCAGGCCTTACTCTTCCCGGCATGTTCTTTACCATCTTTATATTCCAAGTAGCGATTAAGAAAACGACAAAAATGAAGGTTATGCCAAAACCAACGTTCAAACTTTTCCGGAATCTTCAGTGGGGTGAAGTCCTATACTCTGTACCTTGCAAGCCAAGCAGGCGGTCTAAAAATCACAATATTTTTAAGCATTCTTGTTTGGCGCTTTGGCTGGCATAACTGTAACAAGTACTCAATTGGCACCTTCAAACTTCTTGCAACCTGCGGGAAACTAATCTATACTATGATCCCTAGAAAGACTGTCTAGTCTCCCTTCGACCGCCTCTTACCACGCGGCGAGATGGCAGCGCCGTGAATGAAATTGCAGGGGGCGCTGCACGGCAATCGACGTGTTGCTGTAGCTGCCACCTTCCTCCCTCACTACCTTCTTCACTCTCAACAAGCTTAATGAGGTAAGCATTGCTGACTACTCTGCCTTCTTAGTAAGGACATATTTACCTTTGTTAAGCTGGGAGGTGCATGCAGTAGCGATAACAACAAGCATCCTCAAGTTCTTCATCCTCCTTGTTTTCCGTCTTTACGCCAAAGTTACGAACAACGAGAGGGCAACCGGGCGAGAGCGCTAAGGCTTCTGAAGGCCAGGAGGTGTAAATAATTCACCTCCAACGCGCTCATTTGCTTGTGTCGGTCGTGTTTTCTTCATATTTCTTTTGTGGCTTGGTAACTGCCAACTTTTAGCACGCCGATTGATCGCAGCGCCGCCACGCGCTTTTATTCCAGAGTAGTCTCGGTGGGGTGCAGTAGACGGAAGACT